CCCCCCCCCAGGGTATCGTGGCGCTCCTGGTGATAAAGAACAGGTGATGGAATGAGGAGCTGTCACTCTTTAGAGCTGACACCTGGGGCTGCCAGGCAACAGGGCGGCCAGCTGTTGGTGTTCTTCACTCAGGTGCATCACAGGGGGCACTAAACATCTGCGTGGTTTGTCTGTGTGTGTCTGCGCAGGTTCAAGAAGATGTGGAAGCTGCAGGCTCTGAAAGAAGGCAAGACCAGCATGCACCCGCCTTATTCTTTGGGACAGCTGGTCCCTGAGAGGCCCAAGCCCACGCCAGTGCTCGTTCCTCTCATCTCCCCGCCGGTGTCCCCCAGCAGCCTTGGGTCAGACAACACCTTGAGGGACAGCCGACGCCCACAGAGCCCTTATGACATCAGCAACAGAGACTACTTCTTCCCCCAGTAGCCGGCTGGGTGGCTCCTGGCAGGCTGGGGTATCAGACCTGCTGAATCGTGCCGTTGGCCAAGTACAAGCTGGCTTCTCACTGTCACTTCAGCTCATCTCAGGTGCGTGGGGCCTCTGGCCTCACTGTTACAGAACCTCACGGAAGGTTCTGCGCTGGGTGAAAACAGGTTTGCTGCTCTTGGTCAAAAGGAAGAGGTTGAGTTTTCGAACCACTCTTGCCCAAAGCCCTGCTTAAAGCCCTGTGCAGATAGCGGTGTCAAGAGTCCACTGGACACTCAGGTGGGCAGGGCCAGGCGTCCGCGGAGGCCTCAGACCCTGGGCTTCGTGTGGACAAGCTGCCGGCCACCTGCACACATGACACAGCTCCACAAGCCACACTCTCAGGAGGTGGGATGGATTTCCAGCCAGAGACCCCCGGTCGCCTATCTCCTGGCCCACTGCACAGTTTCATCTTCTAACTCATACTCTTGAAACTCAAGTGCCTTCCAAGTTCAGTTTTGCGTGGCCTGAGGACGGCTTTTCTTCAATCACTCAGGCTGTGGAAGCTCTTGACCGCCTCTCCTCCCCACCCTGGGGAAACAGCTGAGGGGGAAGGCAAATAGTATCTCAGGACCAGATGGCTTGAAGTGAGATTGCAATTAGTTCCTCAGTAGCATTTTGCTAAATGTGAATGTAAACCCCAGGCATCTGCTGAATCCAGAAGCAACTGCACGGACTGTTTCCCTCTCTGGACCCCAGGACTTAGGAGGAGAGCAGCAGAGAGGAAGTAGGGGTGTGGGGACAGGGTCTCCACTCACAGTAATGGAGCTGCGTGAGACGGAGCCTCTGAAAACCAATATCCCCCTTTCTTCTTGTGCCCAGCCCCCCAAAAGGAGAACTGGCATCCGGGGAGGGCTCCCGCCATTGGTGGGATCAACATGTTTGCCTCCAGCCTTGTTTGTTTTCTTTTTACCTGAGCCTGAGTAATGAGGGAAGAAGATACTCCTGTGAAAAGGCAGAAGAGCCGGGCAAGAATGTATTTCAACTTGGTTTTTAAAGAACTGCTGACTTTTTTCTTGAGAGGGTGGAAGATCCCTTACTAGCGGAGGGTTAGTACATAAATAACTTGGGGAGAAGCACAGTTATTTGTTTGGCCCAAAACCGAGTCAAGTGAAAAGGGAGGAGAGAAAATTATTTTCCCCCGTTAGAGAGGAGACTGGTTTCATTCTAAATTTTGTTTTTTGTCTTCAAAAGTGAAAAAAATTGCCTGCTGCTTCTCTAAGTTAGGGGAAAGGCGGCTTGTTACTGCTCCCCCTAGCGGCGGCGGCGGACATGCGTCCAGATCCCGCGGCGGTGCTGGGAAGCTGGCCTCCCACCCCTGCGGAACAGGGTCCGCTGAAAACCCCCGCCCCCGGCAGCCTCGGCCTGGCTCTCAGAGGGCGGGAGATTCATTCAGAAACCCCCTCGTGCCTTCCTCTTTTTATTTTGTTCCTTGAATTTGATTCAGTTCAGCTAGTACTGAAGTTCCAGCTAAATGTCTGGCCGTGACTCGGAGACTCACCCACTTCAGCTCACTTTTGTGTCCGGGCTTTGGAAAGGCAGCGATGGGCGGGTGCCCAGACCAGTACCCTCAAGGATCACCTGCTGTCCCAGAACAAAGGTGTGATTAAAATCAGTTGTGTAACCACAGACCAAAAATTTACCAGACCACAAACTCCTCTGGTAGTCTACCCTTGTAGAAAAATAACCACCTGCACCAGACAGGTGCCAAAGGGTGAACATGACCGTGTTTTAGTCACTGTTGGCTGGGTTCAAACTGTTACTATCTTGGGCAAGTAGTGATTTTCATTGCTGGCTTAGTCTGTCAAGTTTCAGACCCCATTGCCGCTTTAGGCAACTCTCTTAAGTTGACAGAAGTCTGGCAGGTGTGTGTGTTTTTTTCTTCTATAAAGTTTCTTTGAAAACAGCAAAAATGCTGTTAAAGGGAAATATAAAAAAATGAGACTCTGCATGAGAAAGGGTGATTCTGCCCACGGTTCTTAAACTCTTTATAAGGTTTTAACCACATGTAATATTACCAAAGCTGGGAGGAGACATGCTAGTGGAAGATATGAAATCCAGATAGCTCATGATCACTGAGAGCTAGGTAGCTTTGATCTCCAATTGTTATTGCTTTCGTTATTATTGTAACGGAACTGCTTTTTTTTTTGGTATTGAAGAGAGTTTTG